ATCTGGAGGGCGCACGCGCGGCGGGTGAGAGCCAGCAGCTCCTTGTCCCTCGCCCGGCCCCGATCGAACGCCAGGATCTCCGACAGGTTGTCGCCGAAGGAGACGAGGTGGCATCCGTGCGACCGGGCGTCTCGCGCCTCGCGGTCGAGGCCGAGGAGGGCCGCCCGCGCCTCCTTGCAGTGGATCGCCGCCGGACGCCGCCAAGAGCCCACGGCCCCACGGCGCCAGCGGCTGGGCCGCGCCCACTCCGCCGCGATCGGAGGCACCAGGCCCACCCGCTCTCGGAAGTCGCGGGGCGGGCGGCGGGAGCGGGGATCGCCAGCCTGCAGGGGGGCCACGCTGGGCACAGGCTGCAGCGAGTCGGCGACCCAGCGGGAGAAGGCACCTTCGGGCAGGAGGGGGGCGACCTCCGCACCACGGATGGCCGCGGTCGACGCCGCGGGCCCGCCGTCGTCGTCCACGAAGCGTCACCGCTCGCGCCAGACTGCCTCCCGCCAGAGGCTGGCGGGGTCCGCGGCGGTGAAGTGGAAGGCGTACCCCTCGGTGGAGGCGTCGCTGCAGTAGGCCCGACCGAGCATTTCGCCCGCGACGTCGACGCGCGCGAAGTGGCACAGACCGCGGGCGACGGCCAGCTCGGCGAGGGCACCCTCCGGCAGCGGTCGCACCGCGGAGCCTCCCTTGCCGACGATTCGGTAGCACTCCCCGAGCACCGAGAGGAGACACCTGCGCAGACAGAACTGATGGCATAAGTGTCCCAAGAGGCGGTGCATGTGGTCCGGGGAGATGGCCTTGACCTGGAGCAACGTGCCGAGCCCGTACCAAAGCCTCCACGATCGTCGGGCGGTGGGGCGGATCCAAGAGCGGCGCCCGTCAAAGTGCAGGCCAAGCGCCTCGAAGTCCAGGCAGGGGTCGACGCGCTCGTGCACCGCGAGGCCCGCCTCCTCCAGCTCGTGGACCACGGCGGAGAGGAGGCAGGCGACGGAGGCCTTGTCACCCCCGATGACGTTGGCGTTGTCGACGTAGGGGGCGCAGATCGCTGTCCCCGGGGCCAGCGGCGGAGGGGGCCCCCTGTCCCCCAAGAGGTACTCGGGAAGCCCCAGCGAACGCTGAGCCCGACGGCAAGCCTCGCACACGGCGCTGTGGCAGAAGAACAGGGCCCAGCTCCAGCCCATAAGCAAGCCCGCGAAGCACGCCTCCAGGGGGGCGCCCTCGGCGACGGACACGTCGCACCCGAGGTCGGGGTCAAAGACCGTGTCCACCCCCAGCGCCCCCGCGGTGTCCTGGAGCCCCAGGCCGAAGTAGTGCGAGACCGTGGGCACCAGGAACTGGTAGAAGCCGTCCTGGAGGTCGATGGAGCCCCCCCACAGCTCCTTGGAGCGGCACGCGCCCCGAGCTGCGGCTGGCCGCGCCGCGCCGTCCGCGCCGGCGGCGTCCAGGGCAGCGGCGGCCACGTGGCCCGGGTCGTGGATGAGCGACCCCACGGCCCCAGTGGTGGCCAGCTTAGTGCAGGGCGCCCGGCGGTGGACAGCGTTCGCCGGCCTCGCGTCGAGGACGAGGCGGAGCTGCCCAGACTTCTTCTTGACAAAGAACATCCCGCAACGGGCGGCGACCCTCGCCCTGTAGCAGATGAGGCCGCAGTCGGCGAGCTTCTGCGCGAAGTCACGGAGGAGGCGGGGGTTCGAAGCCAGGCGCCTATCCCAGTGCGGACGAACAGGCTCGACTCCCTCCAGCTGGTCCTCCCCCAGGGCGATGAGCGACGGGTCGGCCAGGTAGCGGGCCGCGTCGGCGCCCACCAGCAGCCGGGCGTCCTTCGGGCGCAGCCGCTTGGAGGTGACGGAGACGCGGTCGGGGTCGCGCGGTGCCACGGCCAGGGGCACGTCCGCGTCGTAGAGGCCCTTTGCCTTGAGGAGCTCCGGCAAGGCGCCGGAAGGGAAGAGGTCGAACTCAAGTGGCCTCGGGCCCGCAGCCAGGGCCACGTCCGCGAGGCGCCCCCACGTCGCGAGCTGGGCGTCAGACAGCTCCCGCCCGGGGAAGGCGGCTGGGCCACACCGGCCTGGGCAGCCCTCGGGCGCGCTCGGCGGCCAGAGCGTTGAGGGCGGCGGCGGCATCAAGCTGCAACGCGCCCACTGCGCCGGCCTCCACGGGCCCCCGTCCCGGCGCTGAGCCGGGCAAAGAAAAGAATGACTTGGGCCGCGGGAGCGGGAACAGACCACACTGCCAGCGGGAAGCACCACGGCGATCCATCCGAGCAGCGGCAGCGCCACTGCGAGGCAGACGGCCAGGTGCGAGGGGGAGAGCCTCGATGGCCCTACTCGGTGCCCTTGCCGCCCTTCTTGCGGCGACTCTCCTCGGCGTAGAGGCGCTGCTGCTTCAGCGCGAAGGCCTCCGTCTTCTGCTCGTCGGCGATGAAGCGGGCGAAGTCCCCGTCCGTCAGGGTGGCGCCGCTGTCGAGGCGGCTGTGGATCATCATCTCAAGGCCCCGGCAGTCGGGGTTCTTGGGCGACTTCTTGACCGCGCGCTCGATGTAGAGCACGCGCCGAGCCAGCTTCTCCATCGCAGCACTCGGGAAGATCTCGAGCTGGTCGAAGCGCAGCGAGTGGTGCAGCACGGACACGAGGCTCTGGTGATGCTTGGCCACGCCCGCCTCGGCGCTGACTCCCGACGACCTGGCCCACGCAGAGTGGTAGCTCTCCAAGGACTCTCCTGAAGCGCGGATCCCGCGCGGCAGCTCGAGCGACGCAGAGGGCCCACGGAAGGGCCAGTCCTTGGCATCGGCCGTCGTCATCCCGTCGCAGCCCGTCTTCACGGCCAGCTCCGAGAGGGACGCCGGGCCCTCCTTGAAGTCGAGGTAGCGGGCGTCCTGCGAATCGCGGCTGATGGCGAGCACCCGAGGGTCGCAGCCGGCACCCGTCTGCTTCTCCTCCTTCCAGGCCGCCAGGTCGCCGGGGAGCAGCCTCTCGACTGCCACCCACCTCTGGTCGTCCATCCTGGCGAGCCCGGCATGACCCCGCGACACGAAGCGCGCGGGGTTGGAGGAGGCGGCGACCTCGACGGTGGTGCCGAAGTCTTCGTCGGCGAGGTCGGCAACGTACCAGACGGCTGCCGAGGCCGCAGCAGCAGGCGCAGCCCCACCCAAGATGCTCGCCACGGCGTGTGCCTGTTGCATCAGGCCCGCCAGCTCGTCCTTCCCCAGCGGACCGAACCCGTAGAAGTTCCCGCGCAGGCGAGCGGGGATCGCGCACCCACGAACCAGCGGCACGATGCGCGACGTCGAGAGGTTCCGCACCTGGACGTCGTGGGTCGGAGTAGCATACACCCACCTGCCATCGTCCCCGATCTTCTCCCGGAGGATGCGGTGGTGCCACCTGACGTTCGGGTCGTCGTCGAAGGCCTCGGCGATCTGCTGCTGCTCGATATCGAGGGCCTGCGGGGCGGCAGCTTTCAGCGGCGACGCCGAGGCGCCCAGCCGTCGGGCTCGTCGAGAGCAGCCAGACCAGGACCCCCAGCGTCGCGGTCGCCAAGCGCCAGCGGCGGCGGCGCCGCGGGGCCCGCGGCCAGGGCGGAAGGCGTGGCGGGGCCCCCGAAAGAGGCCCCCGCCGTCGGCGTGCCGTCCCAGCGGCCGTGGCACCACAGGCGGCAGGCCGCCGCGAGACCCAGTGCGAGGGTCGCAGCGGCCAGAGCGGCGGCCCACAAGGCCGAAGTCGCCCAGCCGCAGCTGCAGGCGGGGCAGGCGGCCGCCGCCGGGCAGGCGGCCAGCGAGGGGCAGACCGCCTCGGGACAGACCGCCGCGGGGCAGATGCACGCCGGGCAGGGCGCCGCCGGCGGGCACGACCGCGTGGGGCCAGGAGGGCGCCGGGCAGGCGCAAGGCGGGCAGTCGAGGACGTGCCCGCAGGAGCCCTGCCCCGCCGCCCCGGGCCCGGCCCACCAGCCGCCCGTGAGGCCACCGAGGAACGCCGCAATCGCAGCGGCAGGGGCGTTGAGCGGGCCGGGCCCTCCCATCCCAAGCCAGAAAAGCTGCAGAGGACTCCGATGCGGACAGTGATAATGTGTCGCACTTTCAATCATCATCCGGAGCGTCCCGGATCGGCGGCACTGACCGGAGGCCACTACAATAGTTCCAAGAGGGCTGTGAAAGACTCCAAAAGGTCCATAAGATCGCTTCCAGAAGCCCCCAAGACGGCTGCCAGAGTCTTCGTCCTTCTCTTCCTGCTGCTGTGGCCGGACCTCATGACAAAAACGTCGTGGCGATCACACATGCGCACATCGTCCTCCTCCTCCTCCTCCTCCTCCTCCTCCTCCTCCTCCTCCTCCTCCTCCGTCTCCTCCTCTTCGCCCTCTTCCTCCTCGCCCTCCTCTTCCTCCTCGCCCTCGTCCTCCTCCTCCCCCTCCTCCTCGCCCTCCTTCTCGTCCTCGTGCTCTTCCGCGTCCTACTCCTCGTCATCGTCCTCGCCCTCCTCGTTTTCGTCCTCGTCCTGGGTCTGATCAGGCTGATCCGGATCTTGCTCCACTGCATGGCTCCACACTGTCCTGATCATGGGAACTCGCCCGAGCATCGTTTCCGACTGGGCTGGCGAGAGTGCGCGAGGCGCCAAACATCCTCGATCTTATAGCCCATGATCGTGCTCGCCTCAGGTCGGGCATGTCCCCCTTCAGGCAGATTTTGGAGAACAATTTCAAAAGAGTCCACAAATATTCTCAAATAGTCCAAACATCGTCCCCAAACTACACGTACGTCGTTCATTTCTAATCGTGCTCATTTCTAGTGGTGCTCGTTTCTAATTGTTCCTGGCCCCCTAGTGGCCAGGAAGAGGCCCAGGATAGAACAAGTGGAAATGAAAGGATCTTGGCCCCCTAAAAATCAAAGAACCTTCGAATACTTAGGAATGAGCAACGTGTATGTTCTTGACTATTTCTGGACACTCCTCCTGTAGAGGGACGTCCCCGACTTACTCCTCGCCCCGCTCCCTCCAGATCTGCACTCGCCCCTCTCGTGCACGGCCCTTCTGGGGCCGGCGCGGAGGGGAACAGCGGCCTGGTCGAGGGACGCGGCGCGGGGCTGGCGGCCTGCACCTCGGCAGCTGGCGATTCTGCCGCGCGCGCAGGCGACACCGAAACGACGGTCAAAAAACGGGCCTTGCGCGCGACGGCACAGCGACCTTCTCAGACCTCTGACGCATTGAACAAATCAAAACGTTTTTTCGTTTTTCCGACTATCTGCCTCTAGCGGCCCTCGCCGGGCCCCGGGGCCGTGAAAAAAAACAACTCAGGATGAAACGCCGGTCCTGCGGCATGGGTCGAGACTTCCGGGACCCCGTATTGACAAAATCACGGCATCGGATCTCTGGGTGACGCGACGGCCTACGCGGGCCGCCAGCGCGGCACACTGCATTGGAAACGCAGGCGCTCACGCGCGACCTTACGCGGGCAGCGTGTGCACCAATGTCGGCGCATACGACCCCATTGTCTTGCCTCGTTCCTCTGGCGGCGCGCACGGCGCGCTGGCGCGGGGGATGGGCTGCCTTCGGAGAAGGCAGTGGGGGGCTTCTACAACCCAAGTGGCTTCGCAGAAACTCTGCCGGCTGCAACGGGCCCGGGTAGTTCCCAGAAGCCCTGCAGGCTGGACGGTTTCCCCCCGGGCCGTGGGCGACCCGAGGAGGGGAGGGCGAGGAGGGGGAGGAGAAGGAGGAGGAGGAGGAGGAGGAGGAGGAGGAGGAGGAGGAGGAGGAGGAGGAGGGGAGGAGGGTGGAGGAGGAGGAGGAGGAGGAGGAGAGAGGAGGAGGAGGAAGAGGAGGAGGCGGAGGAGGAAGAAGAGGAGGAGGAGGGAGGAGGAGGAAGAGGAGGAGGAGGAGGACGACGAAGAGGAGGAGAAGGGAGGAGGAGGAGCAGGGGGAGGAGGAAGGAGGAGGGAGAGGAGCAGGAGGAGGAGAAGGGAGGAGGAGGAGGAGGAGGAGGAGAAGGAGGAGGAGGAGAAGGGAGGAGGAGGAGGACGAAAAGAGGAATAGCAGGGGGAGGAGGAGGAGGGGAACGAGGAGCAGGAGGAGGAGAAGGAGGAGGGTGGAGGGAGGACGGAAGAGGAGGAGAAGGAGGAGGAGGAGGAGGAGGAAGAAGGGAGGAGGGAGGAGGGAATCGGAATCGGAATCGGCCCCATCGCGGTGCGAAGAGTGACTGGACGACAACAAGCACAGACCCGAACTACGAGGACTTCGCTCGGGTCGAGGGCTTACCCTGATCCTTGGGCCAGACCCCTTCGGAAAACCTCTGCATGTACATCTTGCGAGTCTCGGTCAAAACCTCGTCGCACGCCTTGGCCAGGATAGGCCTCAGGTGCTGACTGGCAAACGACCGGCACTTCTTACAGATCCAACACTTCAGAGAAACATGATAAACCATTTCGTGGGATTCGTGGGCCCAGCCCCCCCCCCCGAGATGTACCTGTCGACCCCTCGGCAGCCTATAAAAGACAGAATCAACAGACACTGGAGGGAAGCACGGGCTCCTTCGCCACAACGTCGCGGCGTCAGCAGAAGAACTACATAAGCACCTTACACATCGCCTCGACGACTCGTCAAGGCTGTGGACTGTCTCAAACACCGAAACCGTGCACGGGGAGGGAGGGGGAGGGTGCCGCTCCTGCCTTGAACTCGCGGTACGAGGCCTCGGAAGTGCACGCGAGATGGCCTCCAGCGTTGAGCGGAGGAGACGCCTGCGGACAAGTGCCGCGTCGCTCTCAACCTTCGCAATTTTGGCACGGTCCGACATGTTGACTCGAGCTTCAGCTGCTGCCACGCGGGCAAATTCATCTGCCGCTTGATTCCCCACGAACATCCATTCAGGCCGATGCGAAGCAACGGCCAACGGGGCCTCGAGGTGAGAGGGCACTTGCATGACAGTGACCAGTGATATATCACGACCCTCGAGAGCATTGCCGACGAGCTTCCACACAGATTGATTGGCCCCTGACGGGGCCAAATACAACTTATTGAACCACCCGTCGAGAGACCCGCTGTTGTCGGCGATGCGCACCAGGGCCCCGTCGGAGAACTTGATGGCCACAAGGAGACCCCAGAGCTCCCCGCGCGGAACCGTTTGAACAAGACCTGGCAGCGGACCGAAAACAGCGGCACGGACCTCGGGCTGACTGAAACTCGGCAGGGTGCAAGCGGCGACGCCGACGCGCCGAAGCCGAGAGTCGCGGCTATCTTCGCCACCGCTCGCGTCCCCGAAGACGACAATGGGATCCTCAACGGGCCCCCGTCCCAGGCCACCGTTGCCGTGAAAATCGCCACTATCATGATAAACCCTCCAAGACTCACCTGCAGAGGGGGGCGGGACTTTGGTCCAGGAAGCTGGAATGACCCCACGGAACCAGAAGCAGGACTCGGAGTCCTGACCAGAAATAGCTCTCGGGACCAGGTGGTCCGACCCCCTATATACTGAACTACCGGCATTACATGGGCACGTCCACCCACGATGCAGCGGAGTCTCTGGCTCCACGTCGCAGCGCTGGCAGATCTCGCTAACCTCGGCCATGGTTTCCTCCTTGACCCTGGACTTCGGCCACGTGCCTCCGACGGCAATCGCAAAAAGTGTCTCTGCCAGCTTAGCTCCAAGCTTGGGAACCTCGGCGAGAGCCTTCAAAACGCGCCTGTACGACAGGTTGTCGGCACCGTGCTGCAGCCCCTCGCCGCAAACATGCCGACTTGCTGTGACCCACTGCCGAGCGCGAACCGAATCCTCGAACTCCTGGATGAGCCCGCTGATATCTTCAGAACCCGATGCAACCTCATCGGGGAACGTCCAGATTGCACCTGGTCCTACATCATCGGGGGGCCCTTCATCATCGGGGGGCGCATGCCGAAATGGGACCTCGCACTGCTTGGGCCACCTGCCGCGGGGCAAGCTGCCGAAAGTGCGAAACAACACGAGGCCAAGCTGCGCGGACCGCTGGACGAATAGCTGGCTCCTGCACCCACGTGCGAAGCCATAACTGCAGACATCCCCGTGGGAGCTTATACCCAGGATCGTGACCGTCGGCCCTGAGGTCCAAAACCGTGGCGAGGCACCTCCCCCGCGATCCAGAGGATAACGCATGCCCAAGACGACGCCGACACTGCAACCGAAACTCTCCAAAAAACGCCGTACACCTGATGCCCGCGCGCACCTGCCGCCTGAGCGCCAGCCCGTTCGAGCAGACCAACCCGAGCATATTTACAAGAAGCCCGAGCGAATCGACGAATGCGTGTGTTCATGACTCTGGCCTTCTGGTTGCGCTTGGCTCTAGTGGCTCTGGCGATGCGACCCGCGCCGAGATGCACTCCTAAAAGACACGCCTGCTGACCATGCTGCAACTTAAATCCCCGACGACGAAGGCGAAAAACTATAGCCTTGCTGTCGGCAACGTTGGAGCAGAGGATGGCGCTCTTCTCCGACACTGGAAGACCGTGCCCTTCCAACTCTTGACTTTGACACGCTGCAAGAATCCCACGGTGCAAGTTGGTACAAATCGCCTTCCTAGAGCCTGCGTCGTGCTGGGTAAGGTCGTCGACCCAGATGCGAAAAGACATATCTGGCGTCGCCCTCGTCAACTTCTGTACAATAAAATAGACTAGACATCGCCCAGAACGAGCCCCACTCCGCAGCCCCTGGATAAGACTCTGAGACGCCTGGAAGGCCTCGGCATAGGATCCCGACTGAGCCACCGTGCGGGGCGCAAAACACATCTGGAGCTCCAAGAACAGCACATCAGGAGGGAACCCTAAACGTAATGCAGAGCTTGCTAAGGGACCCCACTGCATCTCGTCATAGAAGCCCTCGATGTCGATAAGGCCCTCGCCGAAGGCCGTGCCTAAACGAAACGTCGATTCATCCCGAAGAGCACGTAGAAAAGCTTCGCGGAGCGCGGAGGTCCCTGCGACGGCGGCGCCCCGGGCTGGCTCGGAGCCCTGTGACCACGAGCGCACATTGTCCTCACGGGCAAAAGACCAGGTCCTAGAGAACATAGACATGAGCCCAATCACCCTGTCACCCCCCGTTTTCTTCCCCAAGAGCCCCCCCACCACCAAACGCGTTTGCCACGGCCAGGACAAGCACTCCTCACAGGCATAAAAAGAGCCGTGAGTTCGGCGAGCCCTGCCAGCGGCAATCGCTCCATGTCGAGGGGAGATAATTGGTCCACCCCGAGTCCTGCTTTGGGTTTCATAGAATGCAGGGCTCGCCGAACTCGCTCAGGCTCAAGCGGCTCGAGTTGCTCAACTCGCGCAGCTTCTCGAACACTAGCAAAAACATCGCGAACCCGATCGAGGTCAAGAGGCTGCGGCCGCCACAAGGCTTGCCACTCCTTGGCCTTCTCGCCCACAATATGCAAAGGATGAAAGAGCACCTGATCGTTAACGACTAGCTCATCGGGAACCGGGGGCACTTTCTTGAAGGATCCCAGGGGCCTCCGCAGTAATGATCCACTCGCGAAAATCCCTCAGAGAACATCCCAAAGCACGCCTTCTAGCCCTACCGGTAACCCTCTTAGCCGTAACAGCCATCAAATTGAGCTCCTCCACAGATAAACTACTAACCCCAAGGAGCTTGACCTGCCACTGGCTCCAAGTCGACTCGCCCCCATTCTCTAGACTGGCCAATGGAACGCGCCTAGAACTGTGGCAAGACGACCCCACCACGAGGCAACTTGATCGTGAAGAGGTTGCTCTCTCACTCTGGCGGATGCCTTAACCTCCGACACAGCAAAAGACGGCCCCTGACTCCGAGAGACGGCTCCAGGAAGCGAAACTTGACGATGCTGAACAATGGCCTTCTCCAAAGTCTGAACCCAAGACGAGTGCATGGCCCCGAGACGACGCACGTGCGAGCCCCCCACTGCAAAGGCGGCCGAGTTCGCAATGATGGGCAACGTCCGACTGCTGAGACGACTGCGAGTACCCGACCTCGGCCCGACACGAAGCCCAAAGGTCAGGAGGCACCTGGAAAGTGGGAAGGGGTGTCTGCCTACTAGCTGCCGAGGGGTCGGGGGCTGAAGCTGGGTCCCCAGACGACCCCGACGAATTTGTGACTGCAAAGCT